TATAACTTAGAGATTAATTAACTATCAAGCTTAAGAAAATACTATCTAAATCGTATAAAAGATAGTTAAAAAAAAGTCTAGGTCTTTAAAAACCGAAATATGTTGGAAGCCATATCAAAAGTCTGCTCTCGGTCTGAAAGGATTTACATTTTCCATTTAAAGGATTTACATGAAGCTCCATTGTGAAGTGTAGAACCGGTGGGATGCCATATTAAAAAAATATTATGAATCTAATTATTTATGCACCGTACACCAACTCTGCAGCGGAACATGTTACATTTTTTTAGTAGAAGTTGGAATATCCAACAATGTTAACTCTCCATGGGTTGAATTTTTATTTTATATAAAAAGGAGAACAAAATATCAGTAATTATAAGTTTATATAAGTATATATGTTTAAACTTTTTTTTGTTATAAATGTATTATGTTACTTTCAAGTCATAAGTTCACACTTTGTATGACATTGTTATTTCTGGTTGAAAACCCTAGCAAATGTCATAAATATTAATATTGGTTTTCTATGTCAAGAAAACGTTATAGAATTAAGTAATCTTATTAGACTTAAATACTTTTTAAACCTAAAACCTAAACTCTTAAAACCTTTACGTTATAGATCTAAAAGGTACGCGGACCTGAAAGTTAGGGGGAAAGTCTCGTGACGCCGGACGGCACCTAAATCCGGACACTATTTAACACGTATTATTTAAGCTAGTATAAATCTTTTTATTTCAAAATACAAGTGAAAGGGGCGAGGGGGGCACACAGGTGCAAGATCACGCGCCAAGACTGACCTGAGACGCACACGGCCACGGCGGGAACAACCCTTTGTTGTTTTAGGCGCAAAAACCCGGCGTCACCTAAATATTAATGGAAGTAATTCTAGTGTATTTATGCATTTATATTTTAGTGGCATTCAAAAATAAAAGTAGTACTTGATTGTTATCCGTAAAATGGTAGAATATTATTAGATATTTTAAACAATTTTAGTAGGTTCCACCAAATGAACGAAATTGTCTGTTCCTTAGCACCGGACACTAAGTTGTCACTTAGCTCAGGAAGTAAACGTATTGATATTTTTTGTGAGAATTGACGTAATTTATTCTAATTATTTAATTTTGTTCTGTATGAGTGCTAACGGTCACTACATACCCCCATTTTCTAGTCAAAGAATAAAAATCTTATGATGAATGCTCCAGCTGAGAGCATCGGTGTGGCCCAGCAAAAAGGGTGGATTTTTTTTTGCAATATCTAAGAATATTCGTCAAACACAAATGTGCAGCCATTCCAGAGTGTGGAGATGGCTACATATGTGTTCAATGCTGGTTATTTTGAAATGTCCGGTACTAGGCGCCACTTTGTAAAATCATATTTTTCGTTACCAAAGTTTGATTGATAGTATTAATTATTGATTAGCAAAGATTGCGTTTTTGTTAATTTAGTTTGATTACTAACTTTGTTATCTAACATAAGTTACAATTTAATGAACATTTCGTAAAATATTTTTTGATTTATTTATAAACAACCTTAGGTGTCCGGCACTCGGGGACTTCTTGAAGACTGGTACTTTTTCGATTATGTCGTTATATGGTAAAATCTTTAAGAGAAATTGTATGTTTTGATCAAAATGGAAATTAGGTTTTTCATAAGTTGGAGATAAGAAAATTATAGAAGAAAAAGTTTGTTTTTAAACTGAACATGTTTAGTAGATACACTCGAATATCAGACAACAAGATAAGTGACTTTTGATTTAAACTTTCTCAATGGGAAATTTTGAGAAGAACTAAGAAAGTCGACGATATCTATCACTATCTGCCTCGTTCTGTAGAGGTTGATAATATAAGGGTTTGATATATTGTTTTACCCTTTTACCGAATCTTTCACAATACTGGGTCGTCCGCGGATTGTACCTATCTTTATCGGACTATTTAATCATGATTTACTATGAATATCTTGCGTAATTTACCTTACTTGAATTTTTATCTATCTCAACTTTTGTTTTCTTTTATTTTATTATTAACATTTTTTTTTATTATTATTAACAAATCCAGTTAATTTGCAATCAACTTTATTTTATCTGCTTGTCAGCATTCTCTGCATAATGTAATAATATATACAGATTGCAGAATAAAATTGAATAAGAAAAAAAAACTAGCTAATAAAAGCATTTTCTAGCGTTGTAGTTTCATGGTTAGTTAAACCAAGTTTTTTGTACAGATAACTTATTTTATATTTGCTGGTAGACTACACAAAGATGTCCGGAAAGTCTTTCCTAAATCCTCGTATTTCGTTAAAAAATTTATAACTCGCTAGAAAGCGCTTCCCGTCACAGAGATTCTTCAAACAATATTTGTTGTTTTATATATGTTCTAGGCTGTTAAAAATTTTACCATTATATAATGATTTTTGTTTAAATTTAGAATAACATTTGATCGAAGCTAGTGGAGTAATGTTTTGCAATGAAAAGACCCAATTTGCTAAATTTATAAAGAAAAATGTAATTTTACTAAATCAATATTTTGGAAATGAAAACTCTTATCCTATTCTATATGAGTTTGTATTTATCATTTTAAAATATGACCTTAATGAAATTGCCGGAATTTAGGTGAAATTTGGCATTTTTAGTATTGCATTAGAGTTAAGTATTTTTAGTTTAGCATTAGAGATTTTTATCTCACTTTAAATGTTAATGTGATTTAAATAATAATCAATTTATTTAGTTAATTCATCAGTGAACTTTATGAAAGTGCTTTTTATGTTTGAAAATTATTTGTAACTTTTTTTTTTTGATTTAAGAAATTAAAAGCCATTCAATGGCTCAAAAAAGACTTGCGTTGATTAGTTTTGCAAGACTATTGGCCGAGCCGTATTTTTAGGATTCACTGAAATCTGAAAAATTTTTTGTCCATGTTTCGTTTTTGATAGATATTATCGTCTTTACGAACTTATTAAAATGTTATGGGTCTACAAAAAGTAGTAGTGTAAGGCGGGGTACAAAGGTTAAATTTGACTTTCAGTAATTATACTGTGTAAACCTAATAAACTAAATCACAACAAATAATACGTATCAAACAAACAACTATCTAACAATGTTCAGTAATATACCCAATTCATTCCTGATAATAGAAATAAGTTTTTTATTCATTTTTATAAAATTTGTCATCTCTTTTTATCCTATAAGGCCAGAGGACGCAAACAGATCCAATATCTTATTTTTAATTTTGAAGAAATAATAGCTAATTGATCCCGCAGGCCGACGTAATAAACAAAACTGTGCAAGTTCCAAATATTTGACATGTTTGACGGTTTGCGTTATTGTTACCGATTAATTTTAATTTGTATATTTTTGTATACAATTATTGTAGCCAAATGTAAAATGTGTTACAGGAGATACTATATCTTTTATTTGTATTATAATATTAATTGTAGTTTACGTCAATTTATGATAAAAAATTATATTTCTATAAATTATAATTATAGTCAATTTTATTCAAAATTAGTAAAGAGTAAATTATCGTTTTTTCCTCGTTACTACTTGACCTGGTAGACGTTACTTCGACCAACTTTGTTCGATGCTCTACAAAATATTTACACATCCAAGACTCTACCATCTAATATATATATATATATATATATATATATATATATATATATATATATATATACAGGTAATCCCCGCACCACACGGTACTTCTATAACACGAACGCGCTCTAACACGGTTTAAGAATTGAGACCAATCCCCTCATAATAACATGGTACTTTTTAGGCACGGGTTCGCTATAACACGGTTTGAGAATTAAGCAAAACCCTAATAAAATAAGAAATATAGTAAAACCTATGAAAATCAAACTATCTAATCTAAAATTAGTAAAATCGCTCAATAAACGAAATAAAACTAGTGCAAAAGAAAACTTTTTTGATATTTTTTCTTCGAGCGTGTACGTTTTATCAAAAAAAATCTAGTATTATCCGAACAATTTTATAAAATATTTTATATATTTCAAATAAAGATTCTTTAAATAAAACGAGCATAATAGCTTAATAAAGATAACTTTGCACGCGTTAAATATATAAAAATCATTTTGCTAATAGCAGGTATAATTTTTTTTTGTAAAAAATAGTGCATGAATCTGGAGGTAGTACAGAACTCTGCTCTGTCAGAGAATGAGAATATCTTGCAAAAAAGGATCGAGTTAAAAAGCACTTATTTGTAGCACATTTTTAAAAAATTAATAAGTATAGCAATACGAATTATAAGATCATGATATAACATGTTTTTTTGAATTCTTGGAACGTAACCTCTCTTTTTGTACTAGTTTTTTTATATCGTATAAAACACGGATTCGCATAACACGCTAGTTTTTTTGGAGCATAACTACCGTGTTGTACGGGGGTTACACACACACACACATATATATATATATAAATATATATATATATATATATATTTATATAAAATACATCTTCCATTCGCTAACTTTGGCATAATGTGAAATTGAATATTTCCAGTAAATGGCGTAACAGATTTCCTGTCCTGGCTAAGTGACGTTGGTTGATAGCACGCAAACTCGTTGTAATTGTCGCATATATATTAAAATGAGTGTCGGCAGTGGGCAATGGCTGCGCACCGTCTCCTTGTCGACAATAATAGCATTATCGTGTACAATGTTTGCGTTCGCCGTCACGTCCATCGAGGCGCAGGCAGTGCAGCAGTGCCCGCCTCACGGTAATATTGCTCCATGCTCCTGCCATGTCAAAAAGAATGGTCTTGACTTGCTGTGCGAGTTCACGGACATGCAACACATCAGCGTTGCTATGGATGCCCTCAAAGGGAAATCTTCAATTATCTTCTATTTAAAACTGAGGCATAACATTCTACCAAAACTGCAAGGTTTCGTGTTTCTTGGACTGGATATACGCCATCTAACGATACATAACAGCAGTCTGGCTGTTGTTGAAGAATCGTCGCTTAGCTCAATAGGTAATTATTACATTTTTATAATTAGATTATAATTATTATTAATATTTAACATATAATATTCACTAATCGTTCGCAAGCTTTTAAGTTTAACCCTTTCGCTACAAGAGTGCTTTCCGCAGGAGTGGTACTGCACGAGCCTGCAAGCTGCTCGAGTATTTTTTATACAATTTTATACAATTACACAGGCCAACAAAGAAAATAGTGCAAACGCTTTTAATGCTGTTTTTAAGTATATTTGGGGCGCTGATTTCAAAAATGACATTGGTTTTTTCTATGAGCTTTAGTTTTCAAGATATGATAGGGTAGAGCGGGGCTAGTTGAGCATAGGGGCAAGTTGAGCAATCGAAATATCTTGAAAACTATTCACCGTTCGTTTAGGCATTATATGGCGAAAAGATAGAGGTTTGGGAGAAATAAACATCCCGCGATCGCTAGTGGCCGCTGGACAAATGAGTGAGGCTCACGGGCGTTTTGTTTATTTTGAGACCAAGTTTTCGTCTGGTTTAGTCAAATGTTATTTATTTTTAATCAGGTAAATGTTATTCTTCCATATAATTATAGTACATTTAATATGCACAGATATTTTGGGTATAACTCTCACGTTTTTTTTTATAAACTCACATTTATTTTGAAGTTCCGAGTTGGGGTTAGTTGAGCATGGCTGCTAAACTGGTTCTGTCACTAAGACCATTACCATTAACTTCCAGAAATTAATTATTATTTTTAAGATTTAAGCTAAGTCTATGAGTAATAATATAAAAAATAATGATTTTATGCAAAAATACTGAATATAATGGTAGAATAATTCCTAAGATACGATATTGTTTTGTTGATTCTACTTTTGGTTAATTATTCAAAGAAAATTACTATAAGTTTTGTTTCACTGTCAATAAAGACTATAAATATAGAACTGGTTATCAAAAACTTATTTTATTTCATCACTAGTCGACATTGAACCTATGATTTCATTATACCTTCTTCAACTTGCCCTACCCCCTATGGGGTACATTAAGCATACTTGACTTTTTGCATTTAAACAGCTGTAGCTTTTAAATTTTACTTATTATCAAAAAATAGTATTAACACTTTTGTTAAGCGATAAACAACAAATCTATTGAGCCGTATAGCAATTTATTGAGACTTTTCATTGAGGAGCTATATCCGTTTAAGTAAAAATATGATATATAAGGAATGAAAGTACAAAATAGTAATACAATTCAAAATTTTATTTTAATGAGATATGCCTACTCGTACATACAAACTTACAAGACCCATTCGGCCTTAGTTGGGACCTTAGTTGACACTGTGAAAAGTTCTTTTCCGTGACGACCTACAATGGACCTGGTTTCGGCGACTTCTTTCCAAGTTCCAAACTAGAGCTGATACAAAAAAATGGTTTGCAGATTTGAAATCAGCGCAAAAAATACTATAAGAATCAGCTCTAACATTTGATGCACCAAACAAAAAAAAATTTGTTGTAGGCCTGTGTTACCAATACAAATGAATTCAAAAATTAACAAATATAGTTCTAAAAAACTAACAATTACAAATAACAAATTTGAATTCTCTATAATTTAACGCAGAGTATAAATATTGAAGCATTGGTCGGCACGCTGGAGGTAATCTATAGACGACACTCGTTCACAAAGATCGTAGCGAAAGGGTTGATTTTTTAGGAATTTTATATTGTTTCTATAGATATTAAGCACTCATTCTCGACTCATATTTGTCAAAGTTATAATAATTTGTTTGATTGCAATATAATATGTAAAAATTATAAAAGAGTAATTAAGAGTTGGTATAAAAAATATTAGAGAAATTGTGAAAAAAATAACAAGTAAAAAGAAAAATAATAGCAAGATAACATATTAAAAAACTAATAAATTAGAATAAATGAATAAAAAAATATATTTTTTTTGCTTTGTAGGAAAGGCTTTGACCCAATTAGATGTGTCGCAAAATGGGTTGCAAAGTGTTCCTTCTCCAGCGTTAAAAAATCTGAATCACCTTTTGATTCTTAATATGAATCATAACAAAATAAGTTCTTTACACGCAAAAGCATTCGAAGGTTTGGATACCCTGGAAATACTTACTCTTTATGAAAATAAAATTTCCAACATCGAACCAGATGCATTTAAAGGACTTGAGAAGTAAGTGATTATTAACATATGTCTCTATCTATGTACATATAAGCACGTCGTAAAAAATAGATAAACCTGACCAAATAAAGAAGCTAAATGAGCAAAGAAAAAATGGTTTAATGCCTTAATGATTTACACGCATCGAGACTATATAACAATTATTTTTAACTAAATAATTATAATTGTTAATAAATTAAAACAGATAAAAAGTATCATTTCTGGTAATTAAAATACATGCTAATAATAATTGAAATACAAGCATTATTTTCATTTTGGTTTTTATTCTTTTTTGTGTGTGCTTTCTTGGTTTGGCATGTACAATTTTTAATTTTTTATGACAGTAAAAATCTTCCTTGTTCAATTCAGATTATTTTAGAATTTCTGGAGGATAACGCATGGTTAGTATCGAAACTTTTTGAATAATATTTTTAATACGCGAAGAATTTTGTATTAAGGGTGGAATGAATATTAAGATGTAAATATGAACAGACAACAGTCATTGTCAGTTTTGGCCCAAATTTTATTGCATAAGTTTACAGATGTTTTGAGACCGTGAATTGAATTGAAATTAAATTATGCTTAATTACGGATAAACTATCAGCTTTCTGTTACAAGGCTTGACACTATACTCAATATTGTATGTATACTTGTGTATGTATATATAACTTGAATTACAGTATTTATTGAACGCCAGTAATTACTTTTTCGATAGCTTTTTAATTATGCATACATGAATAGAGAATTTGAAATGTTATCGATAGACGAAATAATAGTATACACCGAAAGCACGCACGCACTTCAGCATTTGGCTTCAATTTTCTAAATCTTTTTGATATTATTATTACCATGAATTATATATACTGGTATGCTGAAAATAAGACGTTATTCACTTTTACCCGATATCGAATACCCCGTATAGCTATTTAATTTTTAATACACATTTTTTAAACGAGGGGAAATCCGGGAATAAATAATTAGAATAAATAATAGAGTAAATATTTTTTTCCCTTTCATTACGAGAGTGTTTTCCACAGGAGTGGCATTACTATACGAGCGAGCAAGGGTTATCCATTAATCACGTGAGGCTTTAAATGGCCTGAACGAGTTTGACTAAAAATCACGAACATTTACAAGGGGGGTGTGGGTTGGAGTAAGATATCATGCGTTTATTTATTTTTCAAAAAATTTACGATTTGTTGAAACATACACAGGATGTTGGATAGGGAAAGCGGGAGGTAATTTTAAATATTATCACGCATCACCAAGGGGGGTTAAAAATGCTTTATTAAAGTGTTTTAAAACTTTCTATTTGTTAACAAAAAATGTATTTATTAAACGTTACAACACTTCTAAAGAACTAAAAACTACAATAGAAAAATGGATTTTTCAATAATTTAAATCATAGAGATAAATCTTGAGTCAATGGTCGACACATTACACATATGGTTTATAGATGACATTATTCACATAGGCCAAGGGGATGTTATTTTTACCGTTAAAATGTTTTTAATCCTTAGATAGAAATACAAAAAATGCAATATTCTTAGTATCTTTTGTCTTGTATTGTGTATTATTGTATTTGGATCAGATAACATTATCTTGAATACATATATTACCGAATAAGTTATAATCCATCGATTAAACATTGAATGGTAGACTAGATCATATCCAAGTTTAATTTTTTAATTTCGTAATAGTTTAGTTTAGGTATATTATAAGATTCTTCTATTCTTGTCTATTAAGGAGTTGTTTGATTTATAGAAAACTCAAGCGGCTAAATTTGGGTGGTAACGATCTTGTGGCAGTGCCACAACGATCCCTTGCCATTTTGGAAATGTTGAAAAAACTAGAAATACAAGAAAATCGCATATCTTCAATATCAGAAGGCGATTTTGAAGGACTTCGTAGTCTAGACTCTCTGGGTTTGGCTCACAATCATCTCAAAGAAGTTCCACCAAGAGTATTTTCTCATTTGACGTTGCTAAATTCGCTGGAACTGGATGGGAACTCTATCACATATATAGATCCCGATGCATTTGCAGGACTGGAAGGTTAGTTTTAATTATATTTTTTATTGTACAAGATATTTAAGATTTATTTCGAATTTTCGAAATGTAAATACATAATATGCTCTATTGCAAATTTTATTCTGGAGATGTGGATATTTCATATTAAATTATTATTATATGATTAATTCTGTTTGAATGGAAATATAAAGGCTAAATTCGATTTCTATATAATACTAAGCATCATGATGTGAAACAACAAACCGCATATCATGAATATATATACACAGTATACCGTAATATATGGGCCTAGCAAAGAGAGGCTACAGGCCTTCTTTTTACTCGATAGATGATGATTTTTATTTTACTTAAAATTTGTCGATAATTCTTATGTGTGTATATATCGTGTATATTTCTTGTATATTGTGTTATAATTAGGTTTTTATTTTTTTGCTCGTTTTTTTTTATTATGAAAGTATCAAGTTTTTCACCATTTTACAATTCTCAAAGTCGACCGATTCTAAAAATTTTAAATTCACAGTTTCAAACAAAAGTTTTTAATTCTTGGAAAATTGGGGCAATTGTGTTAACATTTCTACTGATGTTCTAGGAGTGTTATTTACGGTTACGGTTCCAAAGTTTGAATGAAAAAATTAATAAAAAATAACTGCAATAACCGAAAAATGGTCCTAATTTCACCACAGCTCTAGGCTGCACTTAAAAGCTCATAGTTTCCAAAAAACATGAATTACTTTTTTCTAATTCAGAAGTTCACCCTGTATATATACAATATAAACACCGTGCTACATTATTGTGCCATGTACATTACATACATACATTTTTTTTTTAATTAAGTTGTTTATCATGTGATTCATTTTTAATGCCATTTACACACTTTTGGTTTTGGGTAAATAATTTTAATAATAAAATTTATTTATGCGCTATGTTGAATTTGAGTCTTATATTGCGTTAACTACGATTTCTTGATGTCAATGAAAATTGTCTTATATGGCTGTATTTATTTATTTTATTCATAAGCGAGACATAATCAATAATTATAAATATTAAATATAGGTATATATAATGTAATAAGTTTATACATATATATATATATATATATATATATATATATATATATATATATATATATTTATATATTAGGGTGGTCCTTAATATGGACATTTTCGAATTTCCTTGCTCCCAAGGGTTCAAATGGTTCTAAATTGATAAAAAACAATTCTCTCAAAGTTTTAGCTCTTAATATTGTATTTTGGATAGTGCGCAATTCAATCAAAATTTTGTATGGAAATACCACGAAAAAAATTTAAAAAATTTAAAAAATGTTTTTAGATATAATTTAGCGAACAAATGAATGAGTTTTATTCAAAATTTGTCGACAAGTTATACCTAAAAAGATTTTTTTTTAACTTTGAAATTTTTTTTTCATGCTATTTCCATACAAAACTTTGATTGAATTGCGCTCTATCTAAAAGACAATATTAAGAGCTAAAACTTTCAAAGAATTGTTTTTTATCAATTTGGAACCATTTGAGCCCTTGGGAGCAAGGAAATTCGAAAATGTTCATATTAAGGACCACCCTAATATATTAGTTAGGTTTAAAGATGGTGCAACAGTGTTTTCATTAATTAAGATAACCACATTTTGAAAGTATTTTCACGATTATCCAAAAATATAAGTATATATACAATTTTAAGTTTCAAATACATATCAGAATGTGTTTTATCTGAAAGAATTACAATAATTATAAAATTCAGCTTGGGAATTAATAATATCCTCCGGCCGGCGCTTGCGCTGTTGCGTATCATTGATTTTTTCAAAATAGGCATAATAATGCAATGTGAGTGCATTCCACATCGCCCTCTTGATAATCCACGGTCATCGCAATTTATGTGCTAATCCACTGACACATAAATTACGATATATGTTCCCAATGGAAAAGTAAATGAAAAACTGTGTAATTAGGTGGAGTTCTAGATTCATGGGGATTGTGGAGATTTTGTGTAAACTGTTGCTCGATCTAGATTATGCCACGCGTTTTATTTATATACGTTTTGCAATCATTATTTATTTATTAACTAAACTTGAATTTATTTATTTGATTAACGTTTTTTTATTAAAAATTAACTGTAAATAATATATTCTATGAAATTCTTACTTTTAGGTTTAACACTGATATACTACAAATTGCAATATATAGAATTTAATTATTTAACTCTTATTTAAAAAACGTATGCCGGCACTAATTTGTGTATTTTTCAAAATAAATCTATAGCACAAGGTATAGTGAAGTGGACACAAGTGGGCCACGTTTTTATGTTTGGTTGTAAAATGGTTAAACTAAAAATATTTTCTTAATTTTTTCTTTATTTGCAAAGGTATAATTGATAATTGATATAATACTTTACTGTGCAAGAAATGGCATTACTCAAGTGGCCCATGTCTGTCCACAAATAGTGGCCCACTTCTATCTACAAAAGTCTTTTTTTGCAAATGCATTCCACAAAAACACAATGCAAACAATCGGCAAAAATTACTTTGCATTTCAAAGATTATAATATGTCTATACTATATAATATATTGCATATTTACTTGAAGTTTTCTCGTGATAAATTCGATAACAAATCACGTAAGAACGCGGGTAAAAACTTTCTCGAAGAAATTCTTAGCGCGTTTCGCTGTACAATGCGAGAGTAGGTTTATAACCTTCAAATGCTTTTTAAAATTGAGCAAGTACCAAAATATGATAAACATGTGCGCGGTTCGACATACATGTCACTAGTCTTAAAGTTATTATAGTGGCCCTCTCCAAACTGTGGCCCACGTCTTACCACTTCACTATAACTACAAAAGCAATACTCGTGAATCTGATATATAATATATAGAGTAAAGCGGGGCTTAAAGGTCCTATTTGAAAGACAAGGAAAAAAGATGTATAACCAGCTATCACCTTGATTCTTACGACTATTTGTTTATTTTGTAATTTATTTGTTTTATGAAATGTATTGTTAATTTTAAGTTAGATTCAACAGTTTTTTTTATATAGCCTCTATAAAATCTTACACACAAGTAGGTGTGGTAAAAAGGACCAACGGAACATTTTTTCTATCAAGCAACTATTAGGTTTTTTTCTCTACTTTCAAACATTGTTGTTGAAATATTCTTAACTTTACTGGTTTTTGAGATATCGATGGTAAACCTTTTTAACCGCAGATCTTTAAGCACCGCTCGACTCTATACGGTGTAATCTTTGCATTAGTTAAATATTATTTCGTAAAATCCCTTTAAAATTAAAACTAAAATTTGCCAGCAGCTTGTATGATCACGCTTTAGTAAAATTACCGATCTTACAAAATTATTAATAATAATTAATTATTATACTAATATGAATCTTCTAAAAGTGATTTTTTACTTTTACAGAAAATCTTCAGTACCTACGTTTAGGAGATAATAATTTACATAGCATTCCATCAGAAGCCTTGCGACCACTTCATAGATTAAGGCACTTGGACCTAAGATCAAACAATATATCAGTTATATTAGAAGACGCCTTTACTGGATATGGAGACTCCATAACGTTTCTCAATCTTCAAAAAAATGAGTAAGTATTTTAATTGACTTATATCTTATTTATGATACTGTGCCTCATTAATTACAAATTTTCCATCTCTTTCAGTATAAAGACATTACCAGCTATGGGATTTGAAAATTTAAATTCTTTAGAAACATTGAATCTTCAAAATAATAAACTAACGCATATACCTGAAGAAATAATGGAGCCTATAGTTGATACTCTAAGAGTAGTGGATATAATGGGTAAATACAAACACATATATATGCTTATATGTATATATATTTACATATATTACGAATTAAAAAAAAAAACGAAATAAATTGTGCTTTCTTTGGTAATCTATCTGCTTTTTATGACAATGGGTTATTTTTGAAACAGGTAGTTTCATCGAATTGACTTTCGGCACAATTCTCCAAACCAAGATTTTTTGGTACCAATTTGTCCTAGGAATGTTATTCACGGTTACTGTCTAAAGTTTGAATAAACAAAAATAATAATAAATAACCGCAATAACCGAAAAATGGTCATAATTTCACCAAAGCTCTTGATTTCACATAAAAGCTCATAATTTCCAAACAATGTGAGATAATTTTTTTTTCCTAATTTTTTTCAAGGGCAGTATAATAAGGTCAATACTATCACCCTGTTTCGGCTTCACGTTCAGGGATACAAATTAGGCCTTCTTACTTGCAGTTTCTGTTTCGTTAATATTTTTTTAATTAAGTTTATTTACTAAATTTGAAATTTAAATAAAAGCCTTAGGTTTAGAAAAAAGCTGATAATTTTCAAACTGCGTGAGGTAAAATTTTTTTTTATGATATTTCAATACTGTTCAATATTTCAACGTTTCGACTTGACGTTGAACTTTTGGACATCAGTGTATGTAAACACCGGGTTTGAGGGGGAAACTTTAGGGGCTTAAAATAAATCGATTTTTTTTGCTAAAATGTTTTCCAAAACTAGCCTAGAATATATTCCTAAAATTTCAGAAACAAATTCAAATAATTTGGGAATTAGAGAAGAAATAGTGAGCAAGCATGTATACAAGCGGAATGAAAACTTCTTTGCGCGATTTCTCGGTTTCGAATTTTTTCGATTCTTCCTAATTGGCGGGAAAGATAGGAAAAAAACTAAACAACATATCGAAACGAGACAGAATTTATTGTATTCATGATTAAATTGCATTTTATTTGAACCTAAAAAAAAACTTAAAAAAAAAGTCATAATTAACCCACTTTTTAAACAATCTAAAGTGAAATTTTATATAAAAAAACTTTTTTTTTTGAAGTTGTGAAAAATTGTTGATTTTAGATTTTTTCTAGATGTTTTAGGTTCAACTAGAATTTATACTATTGAAAATATATATATCTTTTGATTTTTTTTGTTTCGGATCAAAATTGTGACCCGCATCTTTCCCGCCAAATGATACCTGCACGCTTGTGGCGCATCGGCAAAATGCTTGTACCCGGCTTATTATTACATATATTTTATTGAAAGGAATTGAGAAGAATGTTGAAATTTATGACAATAAAATCTAATAGTTTCGTTTCGATTAAATATGAGTTTCTTTCTCTAAAAATTTCTCAAAAAAAAAAACGATTTTTTGAAGCCTCTAAAACAGACTCCCCCCTTAAAAATCATGACTTAATTAATTAATAGAGTGGTGAAATATTGATATTTAATTTTAGATAATCCGTTAATATGTGATTGTGAGATACGCTGGTATAGAGATTGGTTACGAAATCTGAAAGACAAAGATGATGAAATGATGCAGAAAAAACGCACAATATGCACAATGGAAAACGAGCACAGGGAGTACGCTGTGCAGAGCGTGCCCTTCGAGAAAATGAACTGCATCTGGAAGAACATGGGTCGCAGTTCATCCGCAATCAGGCAGGAAGCCCACATCAGGATCACCTTCGCTAGCCTCCTGACAACTTCATTATGGTTAATCAAACTTTCGGTCTGATATATTTAATTTAATTCTTCTTAGCATGTGTACGTTCATGGTACACGGTCTTTTTAACTCATTTTAAATTTTCTTAATTATATTTATAGCTAAATAGGTTGCTTATTTTTGTGATCGATTGAGCGATTTTTCCACTCGTTATTAGATCTGTGATGAATCTTGAGCCCTTGTGATGAAAAATTCAAAATGAAGCACTGTGCCATTCGGATATAATACCTATTAGGCTTTCTGTATTATGGGCTTGATATACATCTTGGATTTAATCAGGTATTAGTATTTTGCGCGGATTAACACTACTATACCATAATTACGAAATTGGACGGCGGCATATGTGTGAAGGTAACTATTGCTATTGCATAGTAATATTTTTGTTTTATGATCATAATTAATTTATTCTTCTATTTAAATCTTTGAATATTCAGAATAATTTTAGTGGCAAATAGAGCCTATATAATGAACTTTTTTTTACTCTCAATCATAGTACTCTCATTTTGTCACAACTTACTTAAACACTGTTCAATTATTGATCATTTTGACTTTTGTCTTCGATTATTTCTAACCTAAATAACAATATATAGTATTCAAAGCAATATAAAGAAAATCACCAATTAATCATTTATTATATAAATATTTTCGATTCGTTGAAATAATTGTAAATAAATGAATGTATGAAAACTGATTTTACTGACACACGCCCGCCTTTTATCTGCACCAACTTCGAACAAATAGATTTTTTCTTGTGAATATTTTTACCAAAAAAAATTGTTGATAATAATGTAAATTTGATATTAGTAAGTGTCCACTGTTGCATTTTCGTTCTTTTATGTTTTAAATTAGTATTACACTTTGGAATTTAAGAATTTTAATCTCATAATTACATTAAGAATTTCAATCTCGTACTTTAAATTGAAATCTGATTTTTATTATTCTTATCAGAAAGCAATTTGAAAATATCCATGAACAAATTAGAAAATGTCGTTGCATAACCTAAGCACTGGTTTTTGTATGCTTTGTTAAAAATTGTCAAAATATACTGAAAACGATAATTTTGCGCATCTAAATAGCAATGATAATTGATCGACGTATATAAATACATATTTTCAAACAAATTTTATATATTTTATGGTTTGGTTAACTTTCTTTAATTTTTACATACTCTGGCAGTGTGTGGTTAATGACGATGTACGGTGGTTTGAATATTTTAACCAAATCATAAGTTAAAATGATTTTATATGATAATATCGTCGATGAGAATGCTCGTACGTGATTATCTAACTATGAATAATTATTAAATATTTTTGAATAACACAATTATTCGTTCATTTTAAGTTTTGTATTGTTTTCAATATAATCCATACTACTTGATTTTTAAGATATTAAAATAATTTCAGTTTTATTCTTCTTACGAGCAAACACATAAACATTCCATATAAATTTTTAGCTTAATTGATATCTCACGTTGTGTAAATAAACATGCTGATAAATATCTTGGTTACATCATATAATGTACGGTGATGTTAGCTTATTGTTAGTTAATGTGTAACTAAAAATAATTTTGAAATTATTTTTGATAATCAATTATATGATGAAGCATAATTTGTACAAATTCAAATAATTCATTAAAAAGATATTGTATATAATAAGATATTTAGCGATTCATCACATTTGTTTATATCATTATAACTATAAAGATCAGCATTTAAAAAATATCATTAACGTTGTTAGGCTAGCCATCGAATGATGCCATTATCATCAAACTTAATTATTACGAATTGACAAAAATATGTTTTAAATTTTATTAAAAGTATTTAATTTGACTTACATTAAGTATCTATCTGTCCATTTGTTCTTGTCTTCAAGTGTCAGTGAAGTACCGAACAAATCTGACGGATTAATCTAATATTTATATATATGCATATTATATAAATACATTTATATACATGTACATATATATCTATATGTATAAATCGAAACATATCAAAACATATCAAACTAATACGTTGATTATTATCAATACATATCAATAGTTATACAAGAAATTTATTATGCGATATCAGAATGCGTGCGCCTTATAATATAATTTTATTTTCGATTTATTCGTAAAATCACTTTTAAAATGATATAAATGTATTTTAGGTCGTGAAAAATCATATTTTGAACTAAATTCGAAAATGATTATAAAATATTTTTATATTTAGATCAGATTTAGACGACATTTCAGCAGCTATGTTACATGAAATATCGCTGTTAAAAGAAAAAAATACATGGTTAATTAAAGTGTTTTAGATGTGTACATTTCACTGCCGTAAATTAATGAAAGAAATAACAAAATTGAATTATTATTTGTAGAATAATCTTTGATATATCCTACACTAATGTCAATATTGTACTTTTCATATTACCGTAAATTATTTATGAATAATATATATATATATATATATATATATATATATATATATATATATATACATAAACCACTTTTAAAACAGTTTAAAATTCATAATATCTAATTTGCTAAAATATTTAAAAATATCATAACAGCGAAACTGTTTGCACTCGAGAATAGATATACATACAATACAATAAGTTGAAACTTGTAAAACTTCTTGATCTTTTCAATTATATTTTATAAAAAAGTGCACTTAATTCTTTACTTAATTTGCTGATAATGTGAATAATATGTTTAATCAACATTACTTTTAACAAAACTTGATGTAGTTTCATATTATAACATTTTCATATAATATGAACAATTATACGTAAAGAATGAGGGAACCCATTTTTTTCTTCTCCATAATCCTCTCCGAAATCTTTATTAAAACATTTTTGTTTATTGTTTGTAAACTCGAAGAGTAATTTAATAATATTATTCACTTCATGTTATTAGCAATTGCAAAGCTGCTTATCAATAATACTTGATTTATTTTTCTTCTATTCTGAGTGTATGTTCTATGAAATTAAAAAGGTCTTAAAAAGTAGATATTGATTACCTTTCCGTTGTGATATTTAACAACTCTAAATTTCAAAATTTTAATTTTATAATAAACCCAGTAAAATCGAAAATCGTAATCGGCAGTCCTTGCAAAACTACGAAAATATGGAATATTAAATATCAATTTTAAGATTGTTCGACTTCTGCTAATATTTTTAATTATGATTTTTCTGCATAATTTCTGATTTTAATTTAGTGTGCTTGTTTAAACGTGTAGACATTAATAAGTTATGGCATGGATAATAATCGCTTTTTATCAAGCCGAGTCTATATCAATGTATTTATCAATAAGTGAATAAAATTTTTCTATTAATCAATAATTAATAAAATAAAATCAAATACATATCACCCTAAATTTTTAAGTTAATGTTTAAATGTTAATAAAATGTCAATTTAATAAAATTGTATATGTAATGTTTATCCAAAATTTTATTAAGCAAAAAATGTGACTTTTATGCTAATGATCTATGTATATTTTAGATGTACCTAATTAACGATAATCTACATTGTATAATTTTTATAGAGAATTTTTTTAAAAAAATTGTATAATACATATTTAAAATTTAGTGATTAGTGATAAACACAATTACTAATAAAAAATTAAGAATGACAACTGGTATAACATGTTACATAAGAATGACATGTATATAACGTTAAGATATATTATTTATTATATATAAAATTTCGCAGTTACTGTGCGATCGTAATCATTGTCAACTTTGTATGTTCTTATAGATTAAATTCAATGCACTCCTTTCTGAACATAGAATACTATTAATAGTATAAACTATCCAGGAGCACATATCCCATTATATGATATCAAAATGATCTATAAACAAACGAAGATGCATTATTAATTAGATTTATATTTGTTGGTCAAATTTTACTTTTAAATATATTAATGTTTTTTAAATCATGTTATTAAATTGTATGTGATAAGTTAATAAACAAATAAAAACCGAATTAAATTTTATTTCGGGGCGCATGGAAAGTTCAATTCATTTAGCAATACATAATTTGTAGTTGTAGGTTATATTTTTTTCGTATATTATTTTTCAATATTTACCCTTTCTACGTGCGTCGTCTATAAAAAATGATAAATGGTAATCTGCCCGAAGGCAGGTTCATGGTGTAAGAGCCACCACAAATCAATGATTCATTGCCACCATTATTAAGGATCTTTTGACAGCGTGAGGTCAATTAGATGCAAAAGTTGAACTAGAGCTTGTTTGACATTTTTGAATTTTTTACCCATTAATACAATTTGTACGGTCAAAACATGTAATAATCAGAGTTTAAATCCACTTTTCATCCCCAGTTATCATTTGGTTCAAAATTATGTTCCGAGCAAGCAAAGATGTGCATATGATCATCCAATTTTTTTTTTTTGACTTTTCCATATGACACGCGTCTTGAGTACTTCTACACTAATCCTATCTTCGGAATATGGTTAGAAATGGTTTGTTGACCTGAATTAAGCCTTTCTGCGATTTCCGATGTTGTCAGAAAAATATTTTGCTCCAACATTACCTTAACAAGATCAAAGCCCAAAACAGAAAGCATAAAATCACGGGTTTCAAATTTGTCGTACCATTTTTTGCATGTTCTAATGAAACTGTACCTTTAATACCTAACACTTCCAATGAATTTTTATACATGTTTTTGTATCTTTTCCTCTTTGATAAAATTTGTATCAAATGCAGTGGCGTACATAAAATTCATCAGTCACAGATATATACTATCATTTCACTTCGACTAATGTGAATGAACCTCATTAATCGACTTTTGATATTTGATCATCACGAATGAATAATTAAAAATAGTTGAGAATAATACTCGGATTAAAATATTGAACTGATGTGCTTTAAAATATTTTGTGGCCAACATCGTCAGTGCCAGGAGCAATTTTAATTTGAATTATTTTTGTGAATATTTTTAACGAATTCGTGTAAAATCACCTCTCAGTTGCTATTTCTAAAAAACCAGCGTCTCAAGTTACCATGCATAT